GATTATTATTTTTTAAAATGTGTTTTGTGCAGGTCTCACCACATAGCTCAGACTCTTAGTGAGCTTCTGTTTTTTAAGCCTCCCAGTGCTGGGATTACAGGCATGCACCACCATGTCCAGACTCCGTTGCAGCTCATTGTGCCTGGGGGTGGGGCCAGCGTGTATTTATGATTATTATCTCTTACTCTTGGATCGTTCCCTTAACAAGTATGTACTGATCTTCCTTGTCTCTCTTACTCAGTGTTGCTTTGATATCTAGTTTGTCTGACAATAGAATAGCTGCCTCTACTCTTTTCTGAATACCGCCTTATGGAGTATTGTTTTCTATCATTTGACTTTCAGTCTGTGAATTTCTCTTTGATTTAAATGTATTTCTCGTGTGCAGCACATTGTTGGGTCTTGTTTCTTAATCCATTCTCCTAATCTGTTCTTTTGATTGGTCAGCTGACACCATTTATATTGATGGTTATAGATGATATGTGAAATTATCCTTGTCATATTACTTTCCTGTTGTTAGTTTCCATTTTCTCCCCCTCTTTAAATACTTACCTTGCTTCATGGCTTCATTCTCTTGGGTTTCATAGAGTTGTAGTCCTCATTATCTCTTTATAGAATGTCCTTCATACTACTTTCAGGTGCTGATTTTGTGGTTCTGCAACTGTTCTTTGTTTTGAAAGATAGTTTGGTGGGGTGCATCGATCTGGACTGGGAGTTGTTTTCTGTTAGGCCTTGAAATACTTCATGCCAAGCTCTCTTGGACTTGAATGCTTTTATTGAGAAGTCTGTTATGATTCTGATGGGCTTTCTTTTATAAGTGATTTGTTTCTTTTCTCTTAACAGCTTTTAGTATTCTGTTCTTGTGTTGAATTTCTGGAAAGTTGACTACTATATGCCTTGGTGTAGATTTTTTGATTCAAATAGTACTTTGAATTGGAGTACTATATGCCTCAGTTATCTGTATGTCAAGTTCTTTTTTCTATGCTTGGGAAATTTTCTGCAATTACTTCTTTGAACAGGTTTTTTTGTGTCCTTTGTGCTATCTTTTGTTTTTTCATTATGATCACTTTGTGTCATTCTTCTTTGCATCATCAGCCAGAAGCTGTTGTATTTTCTTTTGCAATTTTTAAAGAAACATTTCATTGGATGATCACTAACTCCAAGACTGTCTTCTAGATCTGATATCCTGTCCTCACATTGGTTGAGTCTGATCTGTTAAAAATTCAATGGAAATTTTAATCTCCTGGATATATATTTGAGTCTATTTTGTACTATCCAGTTCTTCCCAATGTTGAGTATTCGTGTGTTTCCATCATTTTCCTAAGCTCCTCTATTTTTTTAAAAATCTGTATCTATTGTGGATTCACTAGCCATGCCTTTCTTTATGGTAATCATCACTCTAGTTATCTGTGAAATTTTTTTTTTTTCCAGAAACTCATTCAGCTGCTTTGTTACACTGCTGCAGTTTCAGAACATTCACTTGGTTTTCTTCTGATTTCTTACACATGAATCCCCTTTTGCATTTGCTTTGTGTGAACTGGAAATCTGGTGTTGTGTCTTGTTTCCATGTCTTCTCATTTTTATTTTTAAAAATTTATTTTCTTCTTTGATGTGTATAAATCACTATAGTAGGTAGCTTTATAGCTAGTATTGAGATCTTCTTAGGCAATGACTATTTATTGTATACAGGGTCTTGCTACACAGCTCAGACTCATAGTGATTCTCCTGTCTCAGCCTCCCCAGCATTGGGGTTATAGGTGTACACCGCCATACCTGGTTAGGGCCCCTATTGTTCTGGGGCCGACATGTCATGTCATACCAGGGATTGAACTTGGGTCCTTGCACTTGCCAGGCAGGTATTTAGACCACTGAGCTATTTTCCTAGCCTGGGAAGGACTACTTTTCAGAGATGTCTTCTAGGTGTAGCTGGCTTTTGACATTTGTGTCTGTCCCAAGATCCTTCCTTTTCACTGTATTGGGAATGAGAAATTGTTGCCCATTTGCCCTAACACCCAGTTTTTTGGTCCTAGTGCATGGTATTGTTTTATGACCCTACACAATCTCAGTATTGTCATACAAGGGAGAAAAATGATCACCTTGGTTAAAGAAGTGTAATCAGTAGCAACACTGTTATCAAGCACAATCTAAAAGGTGACAAATGGTGGTGAGTGTTAATTTGCCACCTTTAGAATAGGTATGAGATTT